TCGGTATTGCAGGCGCGACCATTTTAGGCCGGAGAACCTCAGAAGTGGAAAGACTGACGCTCGAGACATAGTATTCAGACACCATCTGCGTCAGGAGGCATCAGCGCCTTCACGTGGTCTAGAAATTCTACGCTACTACGTTTAAAACGACAGGACAAGATCAAACCGAACCTAGGATTTGCAAACCAAAACGGCCCCGTGACGAACCCACCGGAAGAGGGAGCAGGATTAACCAGCATCCTTCACCGTGTGGACGGAACATAACACTTCTTACCGTCAAGTTCTGCCAAAGTCTATGCGGAGGGGCAAGCAGCAAGTGTACAATAATCAATCAGCCAATGGCCAACACACTTTTAATAACTGATCGATAAAGTCGGTGCACGTTTTCACAAAGGACAGCGGGCCCAAACGTCAGCAGATAAGGAAACACTTTACTGTGTGCAAAAGTGACCTGTTATCTTAAAAGTTTATCTATATAAGACCTATGTTTAAGCGAGGATAGTGTGTAAGCCTTTTGCCAGACAAGCAAACCCCTTCATTGAGTTGACGAAGTATCCCACATACCACTGGCCCCAGGCAAGTATTGTTCCATGTCAGTTCTGTGCCGTATGAATAGACTTTTGACAAAGTGCCAAAGAAAGAAAGAACTCAGAAACAAACCACCCGGCTCCTACACAAAAATCAGAGGGATTAAATGTCATTAAATAGAATAGTTTATTCGAATTTAACAAAAAGGGAATATGCGACACATTCACCGTACTCCAGCCAATGCAATCCCAGTTCAATTCTTTTTTCACCGTCCATTAGAATGTGTGAATGTGAGCGATGTCTTTCTGCGTATTCGAAGGACAGGGCAAAGTCCCTGCAATCAAGATCCTTTTTTCCAGTAAGCACCGATAGCTCTTGATTTTTAATTAAGCTCCTTATTTTAGGGACGCAGATTTGAATGGGTGAGCCATAGATGACTTCGGCGTATCGCTCGAAGTTGCGAACAGATCGAAAGAGCGTCCCATCCAGTGGCCTGTAATCGGAATTAATCACATCTTCTACGGCGAAATCCGGTTTTTTGGCCTGCACACGCAATCGATGGTTTTTATATAGTTTCATCCAATAAAAATCGATATAGAGAAGACAGGGCGCCAGAACATTCTCAGTAAGAGCCTTTGAGTTGCATACTACATAGCTTTCTTCCATTTCAATGCACCCTTTTGCACGCTTTCTCCAGCCTGGGTCGTTGCCACACAGAAGTCCAACCTTTGGATTCCCGAAGCTGGATCGAGCGTCAATTAGGCGCATCTCGTTAGAAGCGTTTGCCGAAAGTTTGGACAAAATGCTGACTGCCCTCTCCATATCCCTCTCATCCACAAGGAAGTCATAGTTACTGTCGTAAAACATCCTACGATGATATCGTAACGATCCCAGCATCGAATCAGATGTCATTATGAGTGGCAGGTTACTTTCCTCAAAGGAGTTTCTCAGCAGACGAAGAGATTCTCTGACTTTCATGCGATCCTGGGCATTTGGATCTCTGTCTTCGAAACAGCTATCCCGAACAGCCTTGAGTAGGGATTCGAAAAGTCTGCGGGGATGAACTTGACGGTTCGCGTACGTGAATGTCCGGTTGTAATTGAGACACCAATATGTGGGCACAGAGAGAAAATGGGGATCTTCAAAAGTTCGGAGGTAAGCCACTATTTCTCCTGTTTGTTTATCAAACTTTGCGTCTTCCAGGGCACTAAGTTTGCTGTTCGGCGTAAAGTTACTGTAAAATTGCCGAATTCCTTTGAGAAAACTCTCCCTGTCTTTGTCAATAACGTCGTGGCGGGCGGGTATTTCCACGTGTCTTGAAATCCACAAAACCATGCATAAAATCAGTAAAATGCATTTAATTTGCCGGCGACGCATTGGTGCCTGTGAAGTCGTCATTAAGTATCAAATTTGGATTGATAAGCGCGCTATGTCAGACTAGGTAGAATCGGCAATGACAAAATTTAAATGTCATGCGTGCAGAAAAATCAATATTAATTAATAGGAAGCGCTAATTGGTAGCAGTGGCTTGTGTCAGTCGGTATTGCCCAGCTATCGATTGTGCCATCTTTCTATGAAATGCTCTTACATTCCATTCTACCTGATATGTTGATTGATGCATGAATCCTCGGAGTACATGGTCGCAAGGTTTATGAAAGCTGGGTGTTCCGCGGAATTGGTCGATGGTGGCTTCGGATAATTTCAGCGATTTTACAACGTCGCCTGATAGTTGTTTTGTCTCTGAAAGGCATTTCAGGCACTTGTTAATAGATTAAGTCTGTTAGGGTAGGGTCCGTGGAAAGAGGCTTATAGGTTGAGCTATCTTCTTACATTGACGAACTCGTTCATTTGTAGTCCAATTTGTTTAAGATGCCAGTTAATCCTCCTTTGTCTGCAGGGACAGTGCTAATATCGACGTCGGTTTACGGGTTCTTAAGTGCTATGTTTCGCTTAGGTTATAGTTATTAAAGGTAATTCCAATATTTCTAGGCTTAATCAGTGCTGATTCGGATTATAGTGTGTTAATTTACTTGATTTCTCCTGTTGACAAAATAGACTCCAGGCTATCTTGGAAATCCCAGTCATTTGAATCAGAAAGATTGTACTTCATCTCGTTGGAAAACAGGTTCTCCTCCCTATCTGCAAGTGATCTAGGAGGAAGACTGACATTTTTTGCAGACTGCCGCTTTTTATATGTTGGCTGAAAAATTGTCTTAAATCTTGTGTGGATTTTGACCTAGCTTAGTGGCAGTTATTTTTGCGTTTCGTCTCCATCGTAACTGATGCTGCAAACCCTCTTGGGGTAAATGGTCACATCTGCTCGCGAATGCGTTCGGAGACGGTTCTCTCTGTTTGGCCACAGCATACGGTATCAAATACTTCGAATGGGATGTTGTAAACGACTTCCTTCCTATGGAGATAGGCAACCCTATAGTTGGGGTCTAGAAGCGGGGAAAGAATATCTTGATAAACTTTGTAAAGTAATGGATACCCACCCTCATTTATCAAGCAAAGCAAGTGCAGATTGAATAGATGACAGGTGAAAGGACAACAACCTGGAGTTTCATTCCCAATACAAATTGTGGCAAAAGTAGCTTATGTAGGCCCACTTATATACACTTGTCCAAGTTGTTTATCCGGCAAACGATGGTTATAGAGATTTGGCGGGTGGGGAAATAGAATAGGCAGAGAAGTTAATAATATAAGTAAGTGTAAAGTGAAAAAAATATAGTCCAAGTTTCACGGAAAGGCATCCTTTGGGAAATGAGTAAGTTTATTGATTAAATTTTTGACACTGGATCCCCAGGTCGTCGTCAGACTTGAGAGAAATTTGAAAACAACAGTTGGCATTTCAAAGTGCTGATACCGTTATATATTCATCTGTTGTGGGCGTTAATTGGGGGTTACAATTTGCGTCACATGGTGATGGACATGATTGAAGAAGAAGGAAGGTCTTGCACTGACTATGAGAGCAACAACCCCATCTCTCACAAAAGGAGTGCCGTTAACAGTCTGCTACG